AGGTCCCAGGTTCCATTCCGGTCAGGAGTATGTGACTTGGTTGCAGGCATGTCCCCAGTAGGGGTATGCAGGGGGCAGCTAATCGGTGTTTCTCTCTCATCAATGTTTCTGGCTCTCTATCCCTCTCCCTTCTTCTCTGTAAAAAATCAATAAAATATTTTTTTAAAAAGAAGAAAAAGAAAAAAAAACTACTCTCCTGCTGCTCATTCGTCTCCAGCCAGGCTTCTTCCAGAGACTTTTTCGTTCTCATAATTCCAGGTTATGTTCACCCCCTTTCTATCACTTCCATCCATAAAATTATACCCTGGAGTCTACACGCCAGACAGACACAGCCACGCTCCGTCTCCCATCTCAGAGCAGAGCGGTGAAGCCGACACACACAGCCCACTCCAGACCTCAGCCCACGCGGCATCTGCAGCTGAGGAAGGGAGCAACTCGGTTGGTGCTTTTTGCATTAAAAAAAGAGAGAGAGCCTGACTGGTGTGGCTCAGTGCTTGAGCATCCAACTATGAACCAGGAGGTCATGGTTCGATTCCTGGTCAAGGGCAAATGCCCTGATTTCAAGCTCAATCCCCAGAGTAGGGTGTGCAGGAGGCAGCCAATCAATGATTCTCTCATCATTGATATTTCTAAGTCTTCTCCTTCTCCCTTCCTCTCTGAAATAAATAACAATATATGAGAGAGAGAGAGAGAGAGGAGAGAGAGAGAGAGAGAGAGAGAGAGAGAGAGAGAGAGAGAGAGAGAGAGAAAGAAACATTGATGTGAGAGTAAAACATTCATCGGTTGCCTCCTGCACGTGCCTCAACTAGGGATTGAACCACACCTGGGTATGTGTCCTGACCAGGAATTCAAACCCAAAACCTTTGGTGTATGGGACAGCCTTTGGTGATCGGGCTACAACCAAGTGAGCCACACCAGCGAGGGCTTTCCTTTTTTCATTTTGTTATATACTCATTGATCTCAGAGAAGGGGGGACGGAGAGATCCATTTTTGTTGTTCCACTCATTTATGCATTTGTTGGTTGACTCTTATGTGTGCCCTGACCACAACCGTGGCGTATCAGGGTGACACTCTAACCAACCGAGCCACCCAGCGCCCAACTAGCTTTTCACAGTTGTCTTTTTAATCCTATAACGTGTAGCTAACTTTACAATTACTGTGCGGTCTCGTGTTTTATGCTCTTATCTACTGACCAAAAAACAACTATCCTACTCTCCGTATGCAAGTGGCCAGCTGGTCCACGTTATCTCAACAGTTGAAAGGAACTCTTGAGTAAAACCTACAGCACGGTGGTTTGGAAATGTGACTGATGCTATCGCTACACCACAAAGCAGTCTGTTTACATATATAGTATTCACTCACGGAGTGGCCCAAGGTAGCTTTCTCTACAAGAAGGCCTCTGAAATAATTTCTTCATCTTTATTAATAACTAGAAGCCCAGTGCACGAAATTCGTGGGAGGGGGGGTGTCCCTCAGCCCAGCCTGCACCCTCTCCAATCTGGGACCCCTCGAGGGATGTCCGACTGCCCGTTTAGGTCCAATCCTAAATGGGCAGTCGCATATCCCTCTTACAATCCAGGACTGCTGGCTCCCAACTGCTCGCCTGCCTGCTTTCCTGATTGCCCCTAACTACTTCTGGCTGCCAGCCTGATTGATGCCTAACTGCTCCCCTACCAGCCTAACTGCCCCTAACTGCCCTCCCCTACAGGCCTGGTTATCCCTAACTGCCCTCCCCTGTAGGCCTGGTCCCCCTGAACTGCCCTTCCCTGCATGCCTGGTTCCCCCAACTGCCCTCCCCTCCTGGCCTGATTGCCCCCAACTGCTCTCCCTTGCAGGCCTGGTTCCTCCAAATTGCCCTCCCCTGCTGGCCATCTTGTAGCAGCCATCTTGTGACCACATGGGAGCAGCCATCTTGTATGTTGGAGTGATGGTCAATTTGCATATTACTCTTTTATTAGATAGGATGACAAGTTTCAACATTGAAAATAAAATAATTGCATTTACATAATTTCCTAAAGCCAAATAATCATACTTCCTCAGCCCAATGCTGTGTGCATGTGCGCCTTACAAACTGCACCAACGCCCATGCTCACGGCAGCGTTAGTCACAACGGCAGGGGGAGGCCACCCACGTGTGTGTCGGGGACGAATGGGTAAGCAGGATGTGTTACACAACAGAATCCCATCCAGCCGACCCTTCTCTGTGTGGTAAGAAATTTAAAATGCTTTAACTTTATAAAAAAATAAATAAAAACACGCCTTTACCGGTTTGGCTCGGTGGATAGAGTATTGGCCTGTGGACTGAAGGGTCCCAGGTTCAATTCCAGTCAGGGGCATATGCCCGGGTTGCAGGTTTGATCCCCATTGGGGGGCGTGCAGGAGACAACCCATCGATGATTCTCTCTCATCATTGATGTTTCTCTCTCTCTCTCTCCCCCCTTCCTTCCCCTCTGAAATCAATAAAAATATATTTTAAAACAAACAAATAAATAAATACACGCTCAACAGGGAACATTGAAACAACATAGGGGAGAATACGATGATGCCCCCCAAGAGCGACCACTGTGCCAGGGTCACGGGCATTGTCCTCTTGCAAACGCTGATGCACCTATAAGCACAAATGCTTCCCCAGACTGGCTGGCACACCTGCCTCTACCAGACCTGACGTCAGCCTCCACGTTCTTGGCAGCTGGCTCTCTTCAGTAAACAGGGGGGTGGGGGGGGCAGGGGCACAGCTGCACCTCGGGGGAGACAGAGCTGGCTGCTCCCCCGAGGTGCGGACCGCCCCAGCAGCCTACGCTCACCAGCCTCTGGGTAACTCAGACCCTAGCAGCCAAATGCCCACAGAACACACCCTCACGCAGCAAACACCAGCCCCGCTCTCCCACCAGCCAGGCAGGGGAGGGATACTGTGATTGAAAAATTTACAAGAAAGAAAGAAACCCAAGCACTCTGTACAGGTGGCTAGAAACCTACTTAATTCTCACGGCCAGGATGGAGAAGCAGTGACCTTTGCCCCCCAAGGAGCACGGAGCCAGCTCAAGCCCAGCGAGTGCCCCCCCCCCCAGAACCTGCAGGCGCTGCAGAAAGCACCCACCCTCCAGGGTCCTCCCGCCTGGCACCGTCCAGGTGTTTCCCCAGCAGGACAGGCCTCCAAGGTCAGAACCGCCCGCACTTCGCAGCTGGGTAACCCGAGAGCCAGCGCAGCCGTGCCAGGGCTGCAGAGCGCGGAGCGGTGGATGCAAACCCTGCTGAAATCTCGATTCCACCTCCCTCCCTCCCTCCCGCCGTCTTGCTGAGCACACGGACACGGACACGCTAGTGCTTTACACCCGCCCCTGAGACTTTCAGGGAGTCTCCTGAGGGGCTGCTCAGCTCAGTACCGCCCCACAGTGCACACGAGGGCGGAGTGATGGTCCGTCCAGTGCTACTCCTCTCATCTTTTCAATAATCACATTTTTATGTGTTAGAGAGAAGAGCCAGAGACACACAGAGAGAGAAACATCAATGTGAGAAAGACACCTGGATGGGGTTGCCTCCCGCAAGGATGGAGCCTGCAGCCGAGGCACAGGCCCTGGACCAGAATCAAACCCGGGACCCTTTAGTCCAGGGGCCGACACTCTATCCACTGAGCCAGACCAGCGAGGCGAATGATACTGCTCTCAGCGCGACCGTCCAGAAAGGCAGGAAGACGTCGCAGCCGTCTCCATGCCCTCCGGAGAGGGGGCTGCTCTCGCCCGAGCCGGCGGGCGGCTTTAAAAGGCTGTGCCCCTTCCTCTGCAACCCCACGCCCCCCGACACCCCCCGGCGCCCCAGCAACACGGAGATATGTCACTGGAGTGGAAGTCATGCCTGGGGACTCAGCTGCCAGCCCCTCCATCACTGGGCCACCCACTCTCCCCCAAACCAGCAGGGATGCAGGGCCAGCACCAGGGCTCAGGGTGCGGACGGATGACACACCCAGAGAACGCCTGGCAGCCCGTTGCTACTTGCTTTCTTCACGTGAAACGTGGGTGTCTTTTGAGAAACACGTTTGCTTGCCCCCAGGGAGCACCTGCAGTGATCGCCACGGGAACACGGCCGCGGAGAGGCCATGGGGAGGCTCCGGGGGGAAGACTCACACTGAAGGTCAAGGCCCCGGCCAGGCACCCACAGGCCCACGGAGGCGGACGCGCAGCGGGGAATTGTAGGAAGTTTGTCAGCGAGCGCAAGCCTCACCCCAAACCCCACCGAGCACCGACCTGCTCTAAAGCCCTCTGGATGCTCTAAGAGGCCACACACGCAGAAAACCAGCCACCCAGCAAACAGTCCTTACCCCAGAGAGACGCAGAGGGAAACGGGTGCTCAGGGCCAGCTCCGGACACCTCGTCCCTGGTCACCTCCTCCTGCGCGGCCAGGACAGACGGCACTGCTCCTCCGCCTGCTGAGCAGCCGCAAATGCCGACAGAGCTCAACTGAAGCCGGAAGCACTTGTGTGTGTGTGTGTATTGTTGTTTTTTGTTAATTTTTATTTTTTATTATTTTTTAAAAAATATATTTTATTGATTTTATACAGAGAGGAAGAGAGAGAGAGTCAGAGAGTCAGAAACATCGATGAGAGAGAATCATCGATCAGCTGCCTCTTGCACACCCCCTACTGGGGATGTGCCCGCAACCAAGGTACATGCCCTTGACTGGAATCGAACCCGGGACCTTTCAGTCCCCCAGCCGACGCTCTATCCACTGAGCCAAACCGGTTTCGGCTTGTTAATTTTTTATGTTTTTATTGATTTTTTAGAGAGGAAGGGACAGAGAGTCTGAACCCACGGAGAGCTGGAGCCGGCCTCTCCCCGGCCAGACACTGGTGGCCTTGGCACGGTCAGCTCCGAGTGCCAGCAACCCAGTTCCGCCATGGGAGGCGCCCTCTGCCCCCCAGGACCCCACCTGCCTCCCTGGACCCCCTCAACTCAGACCCAGCCACAGACGCGGGACCCCCCACGCCAGCACCCCCAGGAAGCATACCGCCACGGGCCTGTTCCCCAGGAAGTTCAGGTCGCTGTTCTCTCCAAACAGGTAGCCTTCGGGGTGGGCCGAGTCGAACTTCTCTCCTCCCATGATGAAGTGGCTAGCGAAGTAGCTTCCTGCAGAGGGAGACACGAGCTCAATGACACCGGCAGACGGGGCCAGGGAAAGCGCCGATTTGGGAGACGGGGGCCCCCAACCCCTCACCCGAGCTGGTGCCACGCCCAGGACCACGGCACCAAGTGGAGAAGCAAACCGTGGCAGGGAGGAGCCACGCTACCAAACAGCATCGCTCACTGCTTTCCTCCCAGCAGCCTTCACCGAGTCCTCCCGCGATCCGCGTCCGCCCTCAGCCCCGCCATGCACACCAGTGAACACGTACGCATATGCATTTTGTTCCTGATTTTCCCCCTTAAACTCAAGGAGGTTTTTCTATGTCCTCCATGCATCTAGGAATCTTTTAAAAAATACATTTTTATTGATTTCAGAGAGGAAGAGAGAAGGAGACAGAGACAGAAACATCAACGATGAGACGGAATCACTGATCAGCTGCCTCCTGCATGCTCTGTACTGGGGATCGCCCTTGACTGGAATCGAACCCGGGACCCCTTAGTTCACAGGCCGACGATCTATCCACTGAGCCAAACTAGCCAGGGCCGTTTGGGAATCTTTTAAAAATTCTAGATGTTTTTATTGATGTCAAAGAAGAAGGAAAAGGGAGGGAGGGGGAGAAACATCCATGATGCGAGAGAATCATCGATCACCTGCCTCCTGCACATCCCTCACTGGGGACTGAGCCAGCAACCCAGGCCTGTGCTCTGGCGGGGGATGGAAGCAAGGACCTCCTGGTTCATAGGCCGATGCTCCACCCCCGAGCCATGCCGGTCCGGCCAGGCGATTCCTTAAACAGCCAGCAAGCACGGGAAGATTCTTCGAGAGCCGTCGCACCCGAATCAGAGCAGACTCTTAGAGTTCCCCACCCAAACGTAAAGCCACCGAGAGCCGCCGTCCGCCAGGACGCCACCGGACAAGCCATCGCTGAGGAGAGCTTGGTTATCCATTATTGATGCCAGCACTTACCGCCCTGTTTTCCAGGTGCATAATTTATAGAGGGGGAGGGGCCCTCTCGAACCCTCAGGCCCCGTGAAGCTGGCCCTTCGTAAGACGCCTTCTCTCTGCATTATGTATTTATGGAGAAATTATATATTTAGTATATGTTAGGTGACTTAGGGAAGGGAGGAGCCTACATGGACGGGTGAGGAACGGGGAGACGCAGGCTGGGTACTCGGTCCGGTGAGGGATGGGCACAGGGACAGGCGCCGGTAATCAGCTTACAGGATCCGGCCAGAGAGAGCCCGACGGCCTGGGAGCGGGCCGAGGGCTCAGAGAAGGCGCCGGGGCTCCATGGGAAATGCTCCCTCGGTATGATATGAGGAGAAAACGCTCACAAACATAGCGTGCAGCTAATTGTAGTTTTGCTCGGCAGCTCAAGTCAAGAGCCGAGACTGTCCCCAGGCCGACAGCCTTTCCCAGCTCCATCCGCCTCAGGACTCTCCGAAGACGCCCGTCTCACTGCTCAGGCTCTGCTCCGGGGCTTCTGCCTCTCGCTGGCGCCGCTCCTGGCCCAGGCCATGCGCACCTGCACCTCACGGCTCCACGAGCTCAATCCTCCTCCGCCCTCTCTTCTCCCTCCCCCTGTCCCTCCCTCTCCGCTCCGGTCCTTCCCTCAGAGAATCTAAGGCCTTGGCTTAGGCCAGGGCTGGGTCTGATGCTGATATTTCGGTCTACCGGCAGCGTGACCCAGGACAGAGAATTTAACACTGCTGAGCCTTGATGCTTTCATTTGGAAAGCAGAGATGATAAAACCGCTTTCCGAAAGGATCATCGTGGGGATGGCCGCCTACGCAGCTGGCCAGGCCCTGTGGGCGGTTCACACCAGCGCCTTCTCCTTCCTCCCACTGGACTTCCAAGCCAGCCTGTGTCTCTCACCTTTCTTTAGCGTTTCAGTCCAGATCTTTTCTTTTTAATATACTTTATTGATGTCAGAGAGGAAGGGAGAGGGAGAGAGAAACATCAATGATGAGAGCCACTGATTGGCTGCCTCCTGCATGGCCCTTACTGGAGATCGAGCCCGCAACCTAGGCATATGCCCTTGCTAGAACTGAACCTGGGACCCTTCAGTCCACAGGCCGACGCTCTATCCACTGAGCCACACCGGCTGCGGTATCAGTCCTGCACTTTAACCAGCTGCCATACCTTTTCATCTGGCCATCCCATCTTCACCTGAAACTCAATGAATACCCTCTTCTTCTGGAAGAAGATGGAATTAAAGACATTTTATCTTAAGAGCTGGCACCAGGACTCCTCTCAGAAGGCAGGCTCTGTTTTGCAATGGACCTTATGAAGCTATTACAGAGGGAGAGAGAGGGAGACATCGATGTGAGAGCGGGTATCAACCAGCAACCTTGTGGTGCAGGGATGAAGCCCAGCCAATGGCGCTCCCTGGCCAGCGCCCTCTGCACTGTTTCCTTAAACAGCTTTACTGCCGAAACCGGTGTGGCTCAGTGGATAGAGCATTGGCCTGCAGACTGCAGGTTCCCAGGTTCGATTCTGGTCAGAGGCATGTACCTTGGTTGTGGGCACATCCCCAGTAGGAGGTGTGCAAGAGGCAGCTGATCAATGTTTCTCTCTCATTGATGTTTCTAACTCTCTATCCCTCTCCCTTCCTCTCTGCCCGCAGCCAAGGTCCATGCCCTTGACCAGAATCGAACCTGGGACCTTTCAGTCCGCAGGCCGACGCTCTACCCACTGAACCACACTGGTTAGGGCGTGTTGTCTTCTTAATATTGAGTTGTAAACGTTCTTGATATTCTGGATAAAAAAGTCTATCTAAGTGACTGGTAAATATTTTCTTTAAGAGGCCGGCTTATCTTTCATCTTCCTAACATCTCTTGAAGCAGAAACATTTTCAATTTTGAAGAAATCCAACTTATCCGTTTTTTTTCTTTTATGGGTTATACTTTTTCTCTCTCACATCCATATTTCTCTCTGTCTTTCCCTCTCTCTTCCATTCTCTCTAAAATCCAATGGAGCTCAGTGGCGGAGCATGTCTGTGAACCAGGTCACAGTTTGATTCCCAGTCGGGGCATATGCGGGTCCATGCCCAGTGGGCAGCGTGCAGGAGGCAACCAATCAATGATTCTCTCTCATCATTGATTTTCCATCTCTTTCTCCCTCTCCTTTCCTCTTTGAAATCAATAAAAATATATTTTTTAAAAATCAATGAAAAATATCATCGGGTGCCAAAACTGGTGTGGCTCAGTGGACAGTGCGTCAGCCTGTGGACTGAAGGGTCCCAGGTTCGATTCCGGTCAAGGGCATGTACATTGTTGTGGAATATCCCCAGTGGGGGATGTACAGGAGGCAGCTGGTCGATGTTTCTAGCTCTCTATCCCTCTCCCTTCCTCCCTGTAAAAAAAATCAATAAAATATATTTTTTAAAAAAGAAAAGAAAATATCCTTGGGCAAGGATTAAAAATAATAATAAATATCTTCTTTCATATCTTCTTATAATGTTTTATAGTTTTTAGCTCTTGTATTTAGGTCTATCATCCATTTAAAAAAAAAAACGTTATTGTGATATAATTCACATATTATATAATCAGGTATGGAAAGGGTACAATCCCATGGTTTTTTAGAATCTTCAGTTATGTAACCATTCACCACGAATATTTTTGGAACATTTTCATTACCCTAAAAAGATCCCACGAGCAGTCCCTCCTCATTTCCCCTCCCCGAGCCACTGGCGGGCAGTAATCTACTTTCTGTTTCTCTGGGTCTGCCTCTCCTGGGATTTCCTGTAAGAGGGATTATACAATATACACATCTGGCTTCTCTGACTTAGCATTCGTGCTTCCAAGGTTCCTCCATGTTATAGCAAATATCAACACTTCATTCCTTTTTATTAGCGAATAACATCCCATTGTGTGGACTTACTACATTGTATGTATCAGTTGTTTCATTCATCAGTTGATGGACTGTTGGGTTATTTCCACCTTTTAGCTATTGTGAATACCTGCTGCTATGAATGACCATTTTGAAGGCTTTGGGTGTGGATAATTTTTCATTTTTATCACTGACGGGTGTTGAATTTTGTCAAATGTTTTGTCTGCATCTATTAAGATGATCATGTGGTGTGTTTTTTTCTTTATTCCACTAACATAGTATATTAACATGGACTGACTCTTCAGCTATTAAACCGACCTTGCATTCCTGAGATAATCCCTTTTCTTCATGGCACCTTCTGCATTCTTGTTTACCTCTGTAGGCAGGCGTTCTGCATCTGACACTAGATGATAAGCTCTGAAATTTTGGAAGGAGCATAATCTTCTTTTTTTAATCCTCACTTGAGGATATTTTTTTCCAATGATTTTTTTTTTTTTTTAGGGGGAGGAGGGGGAGTGAGAGAGATACATCAATTGGCTGTCTCCTTAATATGCCCTGACCGGAGCCAGGGATTGAGCCTGCAACTGAGGTACATGCCCTTTTCTGAGAATAGAACCTGAACCCTTCGGTCTGCAGGCTAACACTCTAACCACTGAGCAACCGGCCATGGCAGGAGCATAATGGTCCCAGGTTCGATTCCGGTCAAGGGCATGTACATTGGTTGTGGGCACATTCCCAGTGGGTGGTGTGCAGGAGGCAGCTGATCGATGTTTCTCTCTCATCGATGTTTCTAGCTCTCTACCCCTCTCCTTTCCTCTCTGTAAAAAAAAAATGAATAAAATATATATTAAAAAATACATATATATATATATATATATTTTTTTTTTAAATAAAGAAAGAAGACACATCTACATCACACAAGGAAATCAAATCTTAAGGCAAAATCAAGAAGTGAAAGCAATTGGTCTGCTCTCAATGAGGTAGAAAAAAGAAAAGAAAAATACACGGGAATTTTCCCAAGTACCAGCATTACCACCTGTAAGTGTGTAGGAAAGTACTAGTAGCATTTGAGGTCTCGGTCTCGATGACATCATCATTAAACAGAGCAATATTTGGGTGTGCTTTTTCCCCTGGGACTAAATGTATTTACTACAACTTTCAGGAACCTACTTATTTTTAGCTAAAGTACCAATCAAACTGTGGCAGAGCCACATTGTTTTTTTCTTTCTTTATTTCTTTTTTTTTTTTTTTTTTTTAAATATTTGTATTGGTCTTTAGAGAGAGGGGGAGGGATAGGGAGACATAACCATGGATGAGAGAGGAACATCATTGATCGGCTGCCTCCTACACGCCCCCCTGGGGTCCCATACGGGGGCATGTGCTCTGACCAGGAATGGAACCAGCCCCTTCTCGGTTCCTGGGTTGCTGCTCAACCACAGAGCCCTACCAGCTGGGCCAAATAATTCTTTATTAGGCAGTAACTGCCATATTGTTAAGTCCCAAGTGATGCTCCAAAAAGCTAAGAGGAACTTCTATAACTACTCAACAGGCAATGACTTATTACCCATGTTTTCAAAACTGCTCTGGCCACAGAACCAATCCCTGTGACCAGCAAGGGCACATTTAATATAACAAACATCGGGAGAAAGATGATGTTAGCTGCTCAGGACTCTGATGACGATTCTGAATTTTTATTTTTTACAATATATTTTTATTGATGTCAGAGAGGATGGGAGAGGGAGAGATAGAAAGAAACATCAATGGTGAGAATCACTGATCGGTTGCCTCCTGCACGGCCCCACACTGGGGGTCAATCCCACAACCCAGGCACATGCCCTGATGGGGAATCAAACCGCAACCTCCTTGTTCATAGGTCGATGCTCAACCACCGAGGCATGCCAACCGGGCCACTGGGAATTTTTATGACGGGTTTACGTCTTAACATCTGAGCAAAATGAATTACTCCTGTTTTTCAATTTGCTCCAATATGTAGCAGGAAATGACCTGGATGAGTCGAGTACGAAGTTTAATGAATGAAATGGTCTGTGTAGCGTGTCCATTTCTTCCTGGAGAGAGGACATAGGCCTAAGGACTCCTATCAACGTGGACAGCCCTTTCGAAAGATGGGCATGCGTGCATTAAAGCCAGCACCGCGGCACAGTCACGCCTTTGCTACGCAAATGATTGTGGTCTCTTAAAGAAGCAAAGTTGGGAGAGAAGGATTCAATAGCGTGTCTAGCTTCTAACTAAAAAAATGACAGACCTACCCGCACTCTAACTGTTTGCCTCAGTGGATAGAGGGTTGGCCTGCAAACTAAAGGGTCCCAGTTTGATTCCGGTCAAGGGTATGTACCTTGGCTGCGGGCATATCCCCAGTGGGAAATGTGCAGGAGGCAGCTGATCGATGTTTTTCTCTCATCGATGTTTCTAACTCTCTATCCCTCTCCCTTCCTCTCTGTAAAAAATCAATAAAATATTAAAAATATATATATATAAAAGAAAGAAAGAAAGAAAGAAAGAAAGAAAGAAAGAAAGAAAGAAAGAAAGAAAGAAAGAAAGAAAGAAAGAAAGAACGAACCTGCCCTGGCCGGAGTGGCTCAGCTGGTTGGAGCATCATCCTGTACACGGAAAGGTCACAGGTTCAATCCCGGCCAGGGCACGTGCCTGGCCTGTGGGTCCCATCTCTGCCTGGAGTGTAGAGGAGAGGCAACCGACTCACATCGATGTTTTCTTCTCTCTGCCTCTCCCTTCCTCACTCCAATAAAACAGATCCCTGAGCAGGGATTAAAAGTAAAGAGACAAAGACCCGGCCCGGGCCCTGGCCAGGTAGCTCAGCTGGTTTGGGTCCTGATGTGCCACGGTTGCAGGTTCAACCCCTCCCAGGCACAAACAAGAATCAACCAACGCACGCACAGGTGGGACAAGAAATCAATATTTATCTCTCATTAAAATCAATAAAATTAAAAAGAAAATAGCCCTAACCTGTGTGGTTCAGTGGATAGAGGTTGGTCTGCGGACTAAAGGGTCCCAGATTTTGATCAAGGGCATGTACCTTGGTTGGCATCCCCAGTGGGAGGCATGCAGGAAGCAGCTGATGGATAATTCTCTCTCATCATTGATGTTCTTATGTCTCTATCCTCTCTTTCTCTCTAAAGTCAATAAAAATATATATTTTTTCAAAAGAGCCCTACCTCTAGGGCCATCCTGGCCAAACCAACTCATTTCCCTGGGCCTCCATTTTCTTGCCGGTGAAATGCGTGGGTCTTAGCCACATTCTCAAAGGTCCCTTTCAGCTCTGAGCGCTCTCCTCCCATGAAGAGCCACGTCCATGTGATGGTCAGGTGAAGCGGGGGAGGTGCCAGTGGACACGAATCCCCAAGTACACCAAGCTTCCCACTCCCGTTTCCATGTTTCGCCTTCAACATAAATAACTGATCCACTTGAAGCACAGATTTCTCACACACAGTATTTCCGACTAAAAATGAGTAACAAGCCCTAGCCGGTTTGGCTCAGCGGCCTGCAGACTGAAGGGTCCTGGGTTGTGGGCTTGATCCCCCAGTAGGAGGCATGGAGGAGGCAGTCGATCAGTGATTCTCTTTCATCCTTGATGTTTCTCTCTCTTTCCCTCTCCCTTCCTCTGAAATCAATAAAAATATTTTAAAAAATAAATAAAAATGAGTAACAATTAGGTAAAACTTTAAAAAATTGGTAGCATGGAGAGGATTAAGACTACAGATATTGAGTGTGTTGGCTAAGAAAAGTTTTTTTTTTTTTTTTTCTTTAAATATACTGTTATTCATTTCAGAGAGGAAGGGGGTAGAGAGAGAGAAACATCAATGATGAGAGAGAATCCCTGATCGGCTGCCTCCTGCATCCCCCCACTGGGGATAGAGCCCACAACCAGGGCATGTGTCCTGACCGGGAATCGAACCCTGACCTCCTGGTTCATAGGTCTACGTTCAACCCCTGAGCCCCGCCCAGGCCGGGCAGAACAGTTTTAGTTTGGTCCATTACCTCTCATTATCATCATCCAAGATTCATACGTTTATCAATATCCTTGGGGGGGGGGGCAGCGGTCCATGAACTGCCCCCCCAATTCCCACGGGTGACGGAGGCGGCAGCCAACCGCCGAAACTCCAAGCTCAGCAGAGCACGCTCCAATTCCTGATCGATAATAGCTAAGTGATTTTTAAAAAAAATTTTCTTTTCACAAGTACATGTGCGTATTTCCATCTGTTAACAAGCAAAACGCCCGTTTCCGTTAGCCCCGGGTTCATAGCCGTGATCAGCGGGAATGGGATTCAGCCCGGGTGAGCCACAGCTGTGCCCAGGCCCGTGCTAACCCGTGCATCCCTGCAAGGCGCATCCCCTGGCACAGAAGTTGCGGGAAGAGAAGCCGCTCGGCAGCCGCTCTGCAGGGGCAGGTTGACTGTCTGGTGCCCGCGGTTCACCTGGCACGACCCGGCGGCGCACTGCGGGAGCCGGCGCCTCTCATTAGCAGCCTTTATCCCGCTGCCCGGCGCCGACACCTCGCCAGTCCCCGCGGCCTCGCCAGGGCCTGGGCCGCCGAGAGGATGGGGGCCAGGGGTCCCCGAAAATCCTGGAGGAAGGAAAGCAAGGAACAGGGCAGAGTTGGACGTGCACCAGCAGCTCGGGACTGGCGGGCGCTCCCGCTGCAGGCGAGCCTCTCCCCTTTGCTGTCAAAGCCGCCTCCGACTCGATGCCCACGGATGCCCACGCCACCCGGCCTTCTGGGTGCCAGGTCCCTCCATCCATCCTATATGCCCGCGCCCGGGCCCGGGCCGACCCCATTCCAAACGCCCCCATGCCACACCGGCCCCCCGCGGCTCCGGCAAAGGCGCAGCCCGGGCCGCCGTGGGCCTCGCCCCCCCACGCGTGTCTGTGGAGCCCCGTCCCCGCTGACAGCCTCCGGGAAGGCACGGCCGGGCCCCTGCAGCCGCCAGCAGCCCTGAGCCCTGCTGTCCCCCAGAAAGCCGATTCGAACCCGTGCCTGTCCCCTCCCTCCGGGGCCAGGGCCGCGCCGCGCACAGGTGCCGGGTCCGTGCCCGGCGCCCCGCCCCCGCCTCAGCCCGGGAACACGGCGTCCGGGCGGGGAGGAGGGGCCGCCGGCGCCCGGCACCCCGGCCCCCGGAGCCGCCATCACGGGACCCCCGGGCGCGGGCCGCCCCCCGCCCCCCTCAGCGCCCGGCGCGCCGCCCGCCCCCGCCCGCCCGGACCCTCCGCGGCGCCGGCCGCCGCCCCCCAGCCCAGCCCCGCCGCCGCGCCCTCCCGGGCCGCGCTCACCGGACTTGGGCGGGTAGCGGTACACGGAGTGGGCCGGCGCGTCCGCCTCCTCCACGCCCGCGTGCTGCCGGCTGGTCAGGGCGCCCATGGCCGCGGCCCTCAGCGCGGCCGCTCGCCCCGCGCCCGCAGCGGGGAGCGCCTGCCCGGGGCGGCCGGCTCGGCCTGGGCCCTGGGCCTGCGGCGCTGGCGGCGGGGAGCCCGGGCCGCGCCGCGCACCATCCTCCGCCCGCAGCCGGCGCCGCCGGAGGGGGCTCGGGGGCCGGGGGCGCCGCCGCCTCGGCCGCGTGATGTCAGCGGCGGCTCCGCCGGGACCGCGGCCTCGGCCAATGGTGCGGCGGGGCGGGCGCGGCCGCGCGGCGCCAGCCAATGAGCGGCGGGATGCGGCGGAGCGGCTGCGAGGGGCCAGCCAATGGGCGGCGGGATGCGGCGGAGCGGCCGCGGGGCGGGGCGGGGCGGGGGTCGCGGGGGTCTGGCTCCGGTGGCCGCGGGGCGCGGGGGGCCCGGCCCCGTTCGCCCCACTTTGTCCCCCAAACGCGAGGCCGCCCAGCGCGGCATCTGCGAAGCCGGGGGTGGAGGTCAGGACCCCGCAGAGGGGCGCTCGCAGAGGGGTCCCGGGGACCACTTCACCCCCCAGTGGGCGCCGCCATCCCGAGGTGCTCTGCCAGCCCCATCTCCCGGGTGCAGGTCGGGGTGATCACTGCGGGTGACCCCCTGGGACGGTCGCCATCTCTCTAGGGCAGCATCGTTCCAATGGCTGCCTCTGCCTCTGCAATGCTGTGTCCAGCCCCTGGGCCAGCCCGAGCTCAGGGGTGTCAGCCCCAGATACCAGGACAGTCAGGCCCGGACCGCGTGGCTCAGTGGTTTGCGTCCACCTGGGAACCAAGAGGTCAAGGTTCAATTCCCCGTGGTCAGGGCATACCCGGTGTGTTAGCCGTACAGGAGGCGGCCAAACAATGATTCTCTCTCATCATTGATTTCCTGTCTCTCTCTCTCTCTCTCCCTCTCCCTTCCTCTTTGCAATCAATAAAAATATATTTTAAAAAAGACACCACGCCCTAGCTGTCTCTTTTGGAAACATGGGGAAGGCTTGGTTCCAAAACCCCACGCTGGTGGAGAGCTTGGACAGACAGAAGACGTCACCCCGAAGTGTAATTACAGACCTGGCCTGTGTGGCAGACCTTGTATTTTACCTGTGGGCCTGGCGTGTGTGTGTGTGTGTCTGAGAGGGTGGACTGATCAGCAAAAACCTCAGCGGCTAGAACACAAGTTCCCAGTTCTTCAGCAAGGTTTGGGGTTCTGGCCCCTTGACTGGGTCTGGAATGCCATTTTCTAGACTCTCCCCTTTTCCTGAGGACAGTTCGCATTCCCATCACCTTTCCGGCAGCAGCCAGCACCTCCGGAGCTAACGGCACCTCGCCCAGGTGACTGGCTTTCTCCAAGGTCCTGAGAGGAGGGATGTGTCTGGGGTCATTTGTGCGGACTGACACCAAGGGCAGGTCCCTGGCTCAGACCCGCAGCAGCACGGCCTGCAGCACAGAGCCCTCCCCCAGCCCGGCGTAACCGCCGAGGCTTTCAGACACACCTTGGGTGGGAGCTGGTGTCCTCCTCCACACCCTTTCACCACACACAGGCCCCACCTGTCATTACTGGGTCAAGGTGAACCACAAGTCGCGAAGCGTCTAGAACTGCTTCACCCGAGGCCTCCAGCCCATCCCGGGTGCACGGCTGCCTCGCACCCTGGGCTCTGCTCGGACGCCTCTGTCCTTCCTGCTCTCAGCGTGTGGTAAAGCGTGCCTATGGGGGGTTAGCAGTGTCTGAGGGTCTCTTATTCCCAGGCAGAGCCAGGCCGGGGTGTGGCTCAATCAGGCAGCTCAGCCTTTTACTTTTTATTGATTGGTTTTCAGAGAGAGAGAGAGGAAGGGAAAGGGGGCGGGAGAGAGAGAAACGAGGATTTGTTATTTACTGATTTGTGCATTCACTGGTCGATTCTCCTATGGGCCCTGACTGGGGATCGAACCCAACACCTTGGGGTGTCAGGATGATGCTCTAACCACCTGAGCTACCCGGCAGCTCACTCGTGTGGCTCCCAAGGATCTGCTCTGCCCCCCCCTCAGCCTGCACTGAGCCCGGGAAACTGGTTCCTTCCCATCTTGGCGAACAGAGTAGCTCCCCACGTCTATAACTAGGGCTCTCTTCCCGGAATGCGCCCTGAGTCCATGCCTGGGGCAGTAGAGAAAAGCACGGCCCAGCAGAGTGACACGGGGCATTCACCAAGCACCCCCTGGGTGCCAGGCCCTCATGTTCACGCTCTCACACACGAAGCACCCCTCACCGCAGCCCCGTGACGACCTGCTCTAACACCCCGGTTTATAGTGGGAGAAACGGAGGCAGAGAAAAGCACTGGGTTCTGAGTTCAACAAATCAGCACCCTCACCCTGTATACCTTCAGCCCCCGGTCTGAGCATCAAGCGTCGGTCTGCAGGATGGCCAGGCAGTAACGGAGCCAGGGCTCGGTTCAAAAGGAGCCAGAGCCCAGCCAGCGTGGCTCAGGGGTTGAGCGTCAAGCTATGAACCAGGAGGTCACGGGTGGATTCCCAGTCGGGGCACATGCCCGGTTGCAAACTCAATCCCCCATGTGGGGTGTGCAGGAGGCAGCCAATCAAAGATTCCCATCATGTGGTTGAATGTCTTCCCATGTGATCACCCATTCAATTTCTGGTCAGGACACATGCCCAGGTTTCAGATTCAATCCCCAGTAGGGGACATGCAGGAGGCATGGACGTTTCTCTCTCATCAATGTTTCTCTCTCTCTCCCCCTCTTTCTAAAAAAAAAAAAAAAAAATCAATAAAAACATATTTTCAAAAACAAAACAAAAAACAAAGATTCTCATCATGGATGTTTCTCTCTCTCTTCCTCTCCTTTCCTCTCTGAAATCAATAAAAATATATTTTAAAAGAAGAAGAAGAAGAAGAAGAAGAAGAAGAAGAAGCAGCCATAACCAGCTGCCTGGGGTCATGAGGAAGAAGAAAAAGGCACCAGGGAAAGCGCAGAGAAAGTTCTAGATCACAGAGGCTTCCTGTGAACTAATCGAGTTGGAGCCCCACTTCCTGCGCTGTAGTCTCGCAGGGTTGCAGTCTGGGGAGAGAGAGCGCAGCCGGGGTCCAGGGCAAAGAGCAGGCGCGCAGCCACGCCCGGGAGAGGCCCTCTGGCTGCCAGGCCGGCTGGCCTCTCCGTCTTCCTCGCCATGCCGTTGGCTCCCTCACCAGAGATCTGGGCGAGATCTGGGCTGGGAGGAGGCCTGCAGGAGGCGATGGCACAGGCCAAAAGGAAAGGAACCAGGAGCGACCTCCGTGGAGAGAGCCACACAGACGCTTTCACCTTGGCTGAATGTCCCGGAGATGGCCCCGCACACGCAGGGAAATGAAATGCAAATTGCAGTGTCCTTTGTGCAAAGAGCCGCTGGCAGCTTGTGCTCTCCCGGCCATAGACGCAGCCCCCGGGAGAATCCCAGCAGAGGGGGTTTTCTTAAAGCATCCGGGGAAGGCAGGGAGGCAAAAGCCCGCAGTTCTGAGCTCCCAGCCCCTCTCAGCCTCGGGGCTGAGGGAGAAAGGAGAGCAGGTGGGGGAAGCGCAGGGACAGTCATTTCCAGGTCAGCCGTCCCCCTGGGCTCTAAGTTCTGCTCACTCGGGCTGTCCTAGTTTCCGCTTCTCTCTGCGGCACATCCCCTCCTCTGAGTGGTTCTGCAGATTCCTGTTAGAGGAGGGAGACTGCAGGTGAAACGCTGGCGGCCACAGCCTGGTCATCACAGGCAGGGAGACGGGGAACGAGGGTACATGGGGCCTGGGGAGCGAGCCAAGCCCCTTCCGGGCTGTTTGCCGGCCATTCTGGCCCTGCGAGGGGGTAAGAAGATTGCAGCCTGGCTGTTCCGAGCAAGCGCCGGGTCTCCCCAAAAGACAGGGCCCCATCAGCAGCCTCAGGGCCCTGATCCCTCTCCCAGGCCCCTGGCGTCCGGGGTTCAAGCCAACACCGTCAGCTGAGGATTTCCCATCCTGCTCGGCCGTGGGCCAGGCTGACGCCCACAGAGGAGCCCCCTCCGACGCCCCCACACGGACACGCCCCGGGACCCACGCCCGGCTCCTCTGCTCCCCGCCGTGAGGACACCGAGCTCGTCCTCCAGGAAGGCACTCGCTTCCATGCTGTGCTTCTCGCCAAATGTGATTCCTCTCTGTTCAGTCCTCCTCAGCTGTGGCCGCTGATGACGAGAGCTGTGCGCCCAGCGCCAGCCCTCAGCGGGGTGTGGAGCGTCTTCACCTGCTTTCCCCGGGAAGGCCCCAGAGAAAACATGTGTCCCTGCCCATGTGGCCGGCCCAGGCAGGAGGCTAAGGGCCTGGGGGTAACCTTTCCTCGGCTCTCAAGTCAGGCAGGTGCCTCACATGAATCCTACTCGAGGCCCCATTTAAAGGATGAGAGGCCGGCCAGTGTGGCTCAGTGGTTGAGCATTGATCCAGGAACCAAGAGCTCTCGGGTTTGATTTCTGGTCAGGGCACATGCCTGGGTTGTGGGCTCGAGCCCAGGAGACAGGAGACAGCAAATCAATAAAAACACATTAAAAAGGGAAGTAGGCCATTCTATACATATATATAATGTTTTATATAATGTTTCTTATTGAATTTTTTTTTTTAAGAAAGAGAGGAAGAGAGAGGGAGAGATAGGAACGTCGATGAGAGAGAAACATCTATCAGCTGCCTCCTGCATACCCGCTACTGAGGATCAAGCCCGTGACCCAGGCATGTGCCCTGATCGGGAATCAAACCAGAGAGCTCCTGGTTCCTGGGTCAACGCTCAATAGCTGAGCCACCCGGGCCGGGCGAGGCCGTTCTCGTTGCCTTAGTTTAGGCCCAGGAATTCCTGGCAAGTACCAGACCCTGGCCACTCCATCCTGTGCCCACAGTCGCTCTTGCCTTCATTGACGCTGCCCTGCCCTTGGCTTTGAGCTCAGCCCCGCACCCCGTGATCAAGTTGGTGTGAACATGCCCCACGAACATGGCAGCCCAGTGGGTGCAGATCGGCGGCCTGGCCGCCCTCCT